TAAAGTACTGTTATCAAAGGGGTCCTGTAAGATTTAAAAATTTAAAAAAGGTAAAAAGTTAAAAAGGCAACTACGTACATTGGAAAACACATAAAAACTCACGATTAAAAATTACAAGTAAAAATGTTCGTTGGCCTTTTGCCTAAATAAAAGCCTAGAGTTCAGAGTTCTTATGTCCGCCGGTAAACTGTTAAAAATTGAAGCCCCTAAAAACGAAAAACTCCGACGGCCAAACTCCAAGTTTGTTGGTGCATGTGCACCAAGTGCATGTTCCAAGGCGTTACAGTGGGTCGGGATTGCAGCAGCATCAAATTACTGAAAAGTATTGATTGGCGATAGGACTCTAAGCGGGGTTATAACCTCAGTTATTAACTTATTTATATTTTTACACAGCTTGTCTTATTTCATTTGCAATAGTGATTCGTCTATTGGAAGTCACTGGTTTGTGGTTGACGTAAAGCTTCAGCAGTTGGCGTTTGACTCGGTCAACGTTGATCACGATACGACTCTGAGGTAAATTTAGATAATCCAACCGAGCAGTATTAACCGTTCCTTCTAATATATCTCTCTAGCACAGTAAGTTCTGCAGTGAACCTATTTGATCGTTACGAACAGTGAAAAAATAATATACTTTCAATACAATGCTGCCATCAAAGTGTTCAGAAAGTTAAATACATTATTTGAACGTACAGCGCCAATTGTTTTCTCCAGGATTTCTCGACTGTTTAACATGTTTAGCAATATGTTTTCAAGGTTTGTGGGCTTTGCTCAAACTTTTCGACGACCAGTTTATCGTTTATGTAAACTTCGAGCTTGCCGGATAATTGTTAATAGAAAAATATGGTTCATAACAAAGGGATTGTTTTACGTTTACGCAAGTATTTGTCCCTTTGTATACCTGTTCATTTAGAGTTGTTTAATAATCAGTCTGCGGGCTGGCTAATCTTGAAGTTTACACATTCGAGCGGCAGAGCGGAGCGACTCGGCGTCTGCTCCCCAAACGTGAGGTTGCTTTCAGGCTAAATAATC